TTATTCAGAACATGCGAGTATTATTCAGAATCTGTGAGTATTATTCAGAACCTGTGAGTATTGATCAGAACCTGTGAGTATTAGTCAGAACATGCGAGTATTATTCAGAATCTGTGAGTATTATTCAGAACCTGTGAGTATTATTCAGAACGTGTGACTATTATTCAGAACCTGTGAGTATTATTCAGAACATGTGACTATTATTCAGAACCTGTGAGTATTGTTAAGAACCTGTGAGTATTATTCAGAACATGTGACTATTATTCAGAACCTGTGAGTATTGTTAAGAACCTGTGAGTATTATTCAGAACCTGTCAGTATTAACAGCTCACCCTGTGTGTCTCTGCAGGGTGGACAAGTCTACTGTCAGCGCTCTGAGATCTCGGTGAGTTTGGATCCAGAAACATTTAGACCTGCGGCTGTTTCAATGAAACCACCCAGAAAACAAGAAACTTCTGCAGAAACCAATGCAGCAGCGGCATGAAACATCCATTAACTCCTTTTAATAACGTCAGAGTTTAACTTTGTAATAATCAGAGCTGCGACAGATCAGGCTCTTATTCTGAAACTCCAGGTTCTGTCCTCTTCCAGTTTCCTGCTGGCTCTTTGACTGAATCCTGAACATCAAAGTTCTGATTAGAGGTGAAATGAGGGATCTGTGAAGGCAGTCATGATGGAGACACAGGAGGAAGAAAAGCTTGCTGGGTTGATGGAGACAGAAAGGCTGAAGGTTCGATGGAGATACTGGAGGACAGAAAGGAGAAGAACTGAAAAATTCCATGTTCAGCTGTGATCGTGTAAAAACAATCAAAGTTCTGAAAACAGCAGTTCAGTCCAACTTTCTGTGACCCGTTCAGATTTTGACTGATGGTTCTGAAGTGTGAGCTGCAGGTCCAGACAGGACTGAGTCCAACAGTTTTTTATTTGCATGTTCTGCTCTAAAAGTCCCAGCACCTTTTCCCTGACTGAGCCTCAGGTTTTGAGTTTTTATAAGAAGAGGAGAAACAAATAAAAATCATGACAGAAAATAAAAAATGAATAAACCAATGTGCTTTAGTTTACTTATTTCACCCAATTAGCATTTTCCTCATGAAAATAAAGACATAAGATTAAAAAAAATAACCAAATATTTAATCTCTGCAGTGACTGATAAAACTAAATGAAACAACTCCTCAACATAGAGATGCTAATTAATGTCCAATAAACAATTATTGCAGTTCTTATTCAAGCTGTAAGCATTTATTATGTTGCTATAAAGAAGTTGAGCCTTTATTAAACAGTTTTAAACTCATCTTTATGCAGTACTCAAGTCATTATTAGCCAGTAATTAAGCATTATTAACTCATTAATACACTTTTAATAAGCAGGTATTAAGTGTTTTTAAGCTGTTTTAGCTCAGTAGATTTTAAAGGACATGTACAACTTGTCTCTAGTTATATATTCAACCTGCTTCAACAAATAAACTGATTTGACTGATTTATAAAAGATAATTCTTAAAGTGTTTGCAAACTCGTGGAAAATATGTTTATAAGACATTAATAAACACTTTATTAATGGATCCTGACTGAAAGTGCTGCCACTGAAGGTATTTTTTAAAGACATAATGATGATTAACGATGGAAAACAAAATAATGTTTAATAATATGTTATTTCCTAAATCCTTTGGTTCTCACTCGCTCTTGAGCAAGACGATGCTTTTCTTCCTTCTCTCGTCCTCCTCCTGCTTTTTTTCTCTCTGTCTTGTTTATCGGAGCTTCTATTTACACATCTTCCAAAACGTAAACTACTGTTATGGATCAATTATAATTACAAATACAAAACAGGTTGAGCAGAGTAAGTAAAGACAGCAGCAGAGTGAAAAGTGTGGTCAGTTTGTACTCCAGCAGTCTAAGCCTATAGCAGCAGAACTAAGGGACAGCTCAGGAAACCCAAGCCGACACTAACTATAGGATTTATCAAAAAGGAAAGTCTTGATCCTAGATTTAAAACTGGACAATGTGTCAGCCTCACGGACAGAAATTGGAAGTTGGTTCCACAAGAGAGGAGCCTGAGAACTGGAAGATCTTCCTCCATTCTGTTTTTGTAAACTCTAGGAACCACAAGTAAACCTGCAGTCTGAGAGTGAAGTGCTCTGTTAGTAAAATATGGAACAATAAGATCTGTAATATAAGATGGAGCTAGGTTGTTGAGAGCTTTGTAGGTTAGAAGTAAGATTTTGAATTCTATTCTGGATTTGACAGGGAGCCAATGGAGAGAAGCTAAAACTGGAGAGATATGATCTCTCCCAGTAACTCCAGTTAAGACTCTGGCAGCAGCATTTTGGATCAACTGAAGACGTTTTAAAGAAGTATTTGGACACCCAGATAATAAACCATTGCAATAGTCCAGTCTAGACGTGACAAATGCATGGACCAGTTTTTCTGCATCATCTTTAGATCAGATGTTTCTAATGTTAGTGATATTACGCAGGTGGAAGAAGGAAGTTCTAGTAACGTTTTTAATGTGGGGGATAAAAGACATGTCCTGATCAAAAATAACACCAAGATTTTTAACATTAGAGCTGGAGGACAGATTAATGCATCTAAGGAGGGAGAAAGACTGAAACATTCATTCCTAAGGTGCTCAGGTCCAAAAACCAAAACCTCAGTCTTGTCTGTTCAACAGGAGAAAATTAAGGGTCATCCAGGTTTTTATGTCTTTAAGACATGCTTGTAGTCTAAGTAGCTGATTGGATTCATTGTGTTTAATGGACAAATATAATTGTGTGTCATCAGCATAACAATGAACATTTATCCCATGCTGTTTAATAACTTTACCTAATGGAAGCATATATAAAGTAAAGAGTATTGGTCCAAGCACTGAGCCCTGAGGAACTCCATGACTAACTTTGGTGTATGAAGATTTATTATTTACATTTACAAACTGGAATCTGTCAGATAGATATGATTTAAACCATTTTAGAGCTGTTCCTGTAATCCCAACATCATATTCAAGCCTCTGTAGTAAAATATTGTGATCAACTGGATCAAATGCAGCACTGAGGTCTAACAGGACCAGTAGAGACACAAGTCCATTGTCTGAGGCCATGAGAATATCATTAGTGACTTTTACTAGTGCTGTTTCTGTGCTATGATGAGCTCTAAACCCTGACTGAAACTCTTCAGATTATTTCTTTGTAGATGTTCACGCAACTGACCTGCAACTAGTTTCTCGAATTTCTGAATCAAGATCAGACTTCTTAAGTAAAGGTTTAATTACAGCAACCTTAAAGCTCTGTGGTACATAACCATCCATTAAAGACAAATTAAGTAGATCCAAAATGTGGACATTAATTAGTGGAAATACCTCTTTAAACAGTCTGGTTGGGATGGGATCTAGCAGGCATGTGGATGGGATCTAGCAGGCATGTGGAAAAGTCAAACAAAGAAGAAGTTATTAATATATTGATATTAAAACCTTTCTTCACTTGTTGCTTCATGTACAGGATTTATAGATTTTTTTAAATATTTATTGGTTATTGATCAAGTTTACAAACAGAACAGCTCCAGCCTGTGCTGTAACATAAAACACTCCTCCACCTCCTCCTCCTCCAGTTTTCCATTTCTCCTCCATCTGCTGCTCTCTGGGTGAGGAGGGTGCCGTACTCCTGATGGTGTCTGACGTTATGGTAAGGGAGGAGGAGGAGGAGGAGGAGGAGGAGGAGGAGGAGTAGCAGGGCTCCTCTGTAGTGATGCTCAGTAACCGACAGCAACGCCACGATGCCGCACAACCGGCGGTGAGTCTGGCACTCATGTTTGTTTATGTGGCTCGTGTTGTTGTTGTTTATGAAACATGTTTATTGTTTTTGTTTTTTATGAGGCGTCGTCCTCTGAAAATGCTGTTTCAGGGTAGTTTTCTTCCTGTGAGTGTGAAGAGTAACATCTCAGAGCATTGTGTCAAAGGTTCAGTAAATAAAAAGAGTTGGATTTGATCTCGTTCAGACGGAAACACGCAGGAGACAAAAAGTGTCCACACAGAAACTGTTGATTTGTCTCTCAGCTCCACATCAGCTGCAGCACGTTTCCCCAAAACGCCTTGAGCGAGGTCTTCATGTGTGTGTTCTGATCAGCGTGAGGTTTGGACCTGGACATGGAGGACATTTCATGAGGACAAATGTGGACAGAGCGTCTCAGAGTCCTCTGACCGTTCAGGTTCAGGTTCTGGTTCTGGTTCTGGTAGTGTCCTGAGAGGGGACACTTATTACTGTAGGTCCTCATACTGATAGAAGGACAAACGTGTGTGTGTGTCTTGTTATGTTCATCATAAACAGCTGATTCACGGCTGTCAACATGCATGTGAAAGAGAAAACAACAAACAAGACAGAAGAGACACTGCAGGCTTCTGATTTTAGACAGATGGACCGCCTGCCCTGCAGCCACACACACACACACACGTGCGCGCGCACGAGAGAGAGAGAACCCAAGAACATGACGGCTTTCCATAACCCCCACACAAACCAAAGTTTCTCTTTCTATCTTTACGAGGACTTTAAATTGACTTCCATTCACTTTTCATTTATTTCTATAAACTAACCCTGACCCTAATTCAAGGATTCACACAACATGTGGTACATGAGGTGGAATGAAATAGTGTTCACAGGGTCCCAGTTACATCCAACAATAAAATGTAAAAGAAAAACAGTAATAAGATCTAAGATATGAACTAAGAATAGGCTAAACACGTAATAATGCAAAAACTGTACGCTGAACAACAGCAGCACGAACATGAGTCTGTGTGAGTACAAATGAACACAGCAGCATGAGATCAGCAGCATGAGATCAGCAGCATGATGTGATTTTTCACAGTGAGTATTCTGGTTAGAGATTCATGAGTCTAACAGCCTCAGGGTAGAAGCTGTTCCTCAGGTTGTTTTCACACCAGATAGTCCGGTAGATTCGGTTCGGGACCAATATTCATGACCTTTTGTTACATTTGAGCTGGTGCGTTTGCATTCACACTGCACTGTGCAGTCGAGTCAACCAGTTGAAGCAACCTGTTGAAGCAACCTGTTGAAGCAACCTATTGAACCAAACTGTTGAACCAACCTGTTGAACCAACCTGTTGAACCAACCTGTTGAAGCAACCTGTTGAACCAA